CATTTTGTTAAAAAACTGTATTTTTTTAAAAAAAGCAGACGTATTAGACTTCCTTTTTGAATGTTTTTAAATCTCTTTTTGACTGTTATTTCGTGTATTGTATTATCCTGGGTCTATAATCTCCTTTGAGCTCTTAAATCTAACTAAGAACCTGGCTAAACTGTTTGATTTAGGAAGCCTAAACTAAAACCCGTTTTTTCGATGTTGGAAATCCATTATCATCATGCAAACAAGACGACAGGAATTTGAAAACGCTGTCAGCTCAAACTGAGATCCTAATGTTTTTCCTCTGAAGTTTTGACTAAATTAATACGAATTTTCCAGTAGGTTTTCTAAAAATAACTATATAGTTCGCCATTTGGCAATGTTATTTTTAAATTCTTTTTGCCTTTCGTTTGAAAAAAAGTGGGGGGAAAGCTGCGATTTGCAGGCTAGAATATATCGAATTCAAGCGCGTTAGCAAACAAGAAGTTTCTTTTAATTGAATATTGAATATAACCAGGAATATCATTAAGATATAGCACAAGAATAATCCTTTAAACCTTCTGTTCATTTTATAAATCAGATTAACGATAATGTGGTCAGTGGTCACTCTTAGACCGCTCACCATTAACTGAATATTAACGGTGAGCGTGATGATATTTTTTTCATTTTCATATCAATTTTCTTCCCTTTTGAGACAAAAAATCAAGCTATCTTTCCACGGTGGCCTCCCACTAGCACTCACACTGCTGCATGTATCGCTCAAATCTTATAAAACACAATGAACTTATCCATGTGTTTGAGAGATTGCAGATTACTGGACATGCCGTCACTTTAGTGTCGGTGAATGACTTCGCAAGGTGTCTTAATTAATGTTACAGGTTCAGAAATACCATACTTGCCAACCAATAATGAAAAAAATCTCGGCAAAGAAGATATAGTTGTATATACAACTATATGTAAATTCTCTAGAATTCTTTTAGGATGTAGCTTTCGGTTGAAGCAATTGGTTTTGATTTTGAATAAATATTGTTTCAAATATCGATCCATTATACGCTCTTCTAAATAGCCAAACAAAAGGCTATCTTGAAAACGTCGGGAACATTTCCTAAAAGAGTTCACAACCTAGCAAAATACTATAGAGCCATTAAAGTCACATGCAATTCAAGAGTAAGGAAATTTACTTTTCCCGGGATTGTTTGTAACCTAAGAATTTCAGTAAGGAAGGAAACTGGAGAAAAAAATTGCAGTTGAGGTGAGAAAAAATGTCAGATATTTTTCTTCGTATTATCATGTTGTCGGTTCACGTCAAGTGTGTTTTTCTTCCCAAAAAAAGTCTCCACCTTTTTGTTTCTTTTATGTCAAATCTTTCTTCTATTTTTGTCTTATTTTTGTCTCTTCTTTTCTTTCTACGTCTTTGAACGTATTTTTACCTCACTCGAAAACAAGGCCCTAAAATCCATTAAATCTAAAGCGCGCTGTTTGTCCAAATGGTCTAATTTTAGAGCACTTTTACATAATAATCGACAACGTGTTACATGGTCTATTTGCTCATTACTTTATGGCATTTAGGGATTCAAACACTTGCCGTAACATACGGAAAAGCATATTTGATGCACGCAAGATCCGCCCAGTCATCTATTCAAGTAATTATAGATCTGATTTTCAGCAATTACGCTCGATGTGGTGAGTTGGTCAAGTAATTTGCCCGACAATTTAAGGCTAATGAAATAAATGGAAATCTGATATTCTTGCCGTTTAGTCTGGTTTCATTAGATAGTTWAAAAAATGTATAGGAAGGCATTAAGCCATGAATGAGGACGTGTTTCAAGTACTTTGGATCAATTCCCGAAAGGTTTATTAAGAGAGGATTTAACTATTGGTCACTGATGTGACCTTTAGATTTAACTCAACAGAGGTACCTTGCATGCAATTCTTTCTTTATATCGTTCTTTTACTTTCTTTTTTCCTTTTATTATCTTCTCTTTCTCTTTTTGTCTTATTTTCTTTCTACCTTCCTAACTTCCTTCCTTCCTTCCTTCCTTAATATTATTCATTTTTTCGTACTTTGCTATCGTTATCATTTATTTTGATGGCTTGTTCTAGACTCTTTTCTAGTAATTTTGTTGCGATTTCCGTAGTTTCATTCTTGCTGGCCTCTCGATCCCTATATTTGATAGCTTGACCATCTGATGAATCGTTATCAAAAGTAACAGAAGATAAATGGCATCACTAATAAACGTGTATTGGAGTCATTGCCTTCGTTCGGTACGATAAGACAATCTACAGCCCTAAATGTCACAGTTCGATTTGATGAATACAGAAAGCAGGGCCTTCAACTCTTCAAATAATTGGCCTCTCCAAATTTAGGATTCGTTTCTGCGTCTTTACATTATAGATCGAGCTAATCTTGATAAGCATCGATAAATCGTTGAACTATAAAGGTTTTTGAGAGTATTTAAGCAAGCCGAAATAAAGAATATATCAAATTGACCAACTGCGGAAAAAGGTAAGGTTGGTGTGCGAATATTGTTTAGACGAGCCTTGGCTAAAACCCCTGGGTCGTTTCTTGTGATTGGATTGGTTTTATTCATTGGAGAGAAGAAAAAAACATTCAAAGACATAAGGTAAACCATTTTGCGGGTTAATGTTAGCGAGAGCTGGACTATCAAGCCTAGGCAAGCGTAAAAATATGTCCAGTATCTATAGAAAGGTACTTTTTTCATTCTGGTTCCATGGGGAGGTTTGATCTTGGATTCTCTTTTCGGGATAAAAAATTGAATTAGGAAACGACTGACAAGCTAAAATAGATAAATAATAACACTGTCAGGCGACGAAATAACATGATTTAGCGAGTTGCTAGGATGTAAGACGAAACACCATGGCACACACCGCTCCATTTCCGTTAGAAACGACAACGTTTTAGTGCGAATACTCTAGTCATAGTAAAGTCAATCTAAAGGCAATTGAATTCTTCTGTCCACACAAAAATCTGAACAAATTCAATTCATCCTAAGATTCAACAGAGTGAGGATTCTTAATATCTTATGGGTATGCTTAAGCTTTTTTCTCTCTACTTTGCTTTGAGTTTCTACTTTTTGTTGTTATTTTGTTTTGTTTATTTGTTTTTGCCTTACTCGTCTTGATTATATATTCGTTTAAGCTCACTTCAAATTTTTTTCCTTCTTTCTCATTTTTTCCTTTTCTATTCCATTTTTTCTCTTGGTTGATTTTTATATTTTCATTTTTCTATTTTGTTGTCAATTCTTCTTCTCCCGCTAATTTTCTTATTCTGTTCGTTCGTTTTGCTTTGTTTTGTCTTGTCCTGTTCTTTTCTTTTCGTTGTTTTGTTTTGTTTTTGTTTTTTGCATAGTAAAAGTAGTTCTTTTCAATTTCCTCTCCCCTCCCATTCTTTCTTCTCTTCCCTTTTATCCCCTTTCTCCTCTCCTTTCCACCCTCCTCTTTCCTCCCCACCAGTTCCCTTCCATCTCTTCCCTCATTCCATTCTTCTTTTCATCTTATTTTCTATCGTTTCAGTAATCTATTCATCCTACAGTGTTATATTTATTAATTAGTCTACCAAATCGATCGATCATTATAGTCTCTCAATATATATCAACACTAGATAACGACTTAGATTTTCTGACTTATTTATAGTTAAAAGTTCTCGACTCTTGTATACCTGTCACAAGAAGTCCAACATCTGCCATAACTAAAATCCTCATTGTAGCTGGATCATTAGTAACCACAATATCGTCCATCCATCAATAAATCACTAGTTTCGGTGTTAACTGATGTATCCACACGGGTGCAGTTGTGTAATCAGATGTGTCCCACTGCTTCCATCTTCTCTTTATTGTATATTTTTAGTATGACAAGCTTGTTTGGAAGCTTCTAGTCCTTGGGAGGAAAGAGTACATGTATTGCAATATACATGTAACTGTTTGTTATTAATCAACGCTGTATTGTGCCTTAGAGGTATAAAATGCTTATCATGAGCTGCCTTTATAAAGGTGGTGTTACACGAGAAACACGTGCACTGTTGCTCGAAAAATTGTTGTGTAACATTGCGTGCGGTTACGATTTTTAACGATATTGCGTGGCGGCACTGAGCATGTTGCAGGTATTTGAATGACCTTCAAAACTCACAACATTAGCTGTCTAACTAGACTAACTTTTTAGTTATTTTAGATAGCTTGTACCTTAGTTCTGAACAATTTTTTTTAAAAATACCTTTGATCAATGTAAACATTCAGGTACCAAAATAAATCTATGTCTATGTCTAACATTGTTGCCATCGATTGGTGTTGCTGCGCCCGCCATGTTACACGAGGCCAATAATTAACGAGGCAACACTGTTGCGCTAAAAATCGTTTCATGTAACATCATCTTATGAAAATAATAGTGGTACAGTAAATATAAGGTCGTTGAAGAAGGAATTCATAGAGAGTGCATATTATATACTGCAGTGATTCGGGTTTTTTTTTGTTTTTTTGTTTTTTGTTTTTTGTTTTTCTTTTTTTCTTACTTTGTTTATGAAAATTGCACTGAAGGTTCCGGCTCTCACTTTTCGAAATAAGAAATAATTGTAAAAGCAAACAAAGACTATACAGTACAATTTCAGTACTTTTCTCTAAATATTTCRACGAGATAAAAAAACATGGTCAGTTTTGGTGTTGACTGATCAAAATGTTTATACAAAAAAGTGAAGCCATAAAAAATTAAACGAAAAACCAACAAAAACATTATAGTCGATTAAATACTTTGGCCGATATTATATGGTGTAGAATAATAGTACTTATATATTTAATTAAGACATATTTTAGGGGGTAAATAGTATCGAACAAGATAAATTTATTCTCTTAGTCTGAAACCTTGTTTCTGAAACGGTAGATCAAAAAAAACATTTTGCAGAGTCTTTTCTCAAAGAAAATGAGTAAACGAGAAAATAGATTTAACAAAACATACAAAAAAGAAAACTGGTTTTCAAGATCGTATTATATCTTTAGACCACATAATTCATTGTTGACTTTAAAAAAAGGCTTAGCCACTAAGTATTCGTGTTAAAGTGTTATTTCATTTCTTAGATCATTCCAGTGTTTCTGTGCTCTTCCGAGCATGTTTTTGTGGTCGGGAGTCGGTCTTTTGTGATGTTTTTATGTTCAACACGCCGATAACAGTTTATCATATGGCCGGACTATTATTACGAGTTTTGTTCAAATTTGATCTAATGTATAAAAAAAGGTGTATCTAACAAGACTTTGATGATTGTGTCACTAAGAGCCTAATGATACTTCCTTTTAAATACTTAAAGCTCTTTACTCAGTTAGTTTTTGGTCGTTTGATCGAACTAAAAGGTGGTGTACTGACTTGCCTCTTCACTCTGGAGTCTCGTGTTCTCGTCATCACCTGTATATGAGTAGAGTTGCTTAGGCTCTCCCTCGATTCGAGGGTTTGTCTCTGGTTTCTCCGGTTTTTCCTCCCTTCACAAAACATAACAAGTTAATTTACAATTAATTCAATCTGTGAGTAAGGCGTGCCCTGATCTTGATCAGCTCAGAGGTTGTTTCAGGGTACGTATTGATGACATTTGAAGGTTATCGGTCGGACGGTCGGTCGGTCGGTTCCTATGAGGGGATATGATCATTATTCAATACACCGTTTAGTTAAGCAGGTTTATTGTTATTAGATATATAAGGTTATTTTTCGTTCTCAGGTTCGTTCACCAGTTAAAACATCGACAGCCATTTTGTTTTTCTTCATATTTATTATGGCTATTGAGATTGATTGATGGTTTGTTGGTCACCCGACTGGGAGGCCAGACAAGTCATGCATCTAAACACTCTTTCTTATTCGGCGGCTGCCTTTAAATCGTGAGTGAGCATGTCATCAGTGAAGTCGGTGTGTGAATAATGAGTTTTTCACAGCACTATGGTGTACGGTATCAATTCGATCTCAAAAGTGAGGGTCTCAAATCAATTAAGATTCATTTTCCAACCCTCATCTCGTCTCACAAAGATAAAGCTTACAGTCACGAACACAAATATATACCGTTAAATATCCACAAAATACAAAAGTGTTTTAATATTTTTATTTTAAGAGGAAATTAAACGGAAGAGGTATTTTTTCGAACAAAGTTTGATGCAAAGAATGACATATTGTTTCCACAACAAAATCCGCCTTTTTGTTATAATCATTCTGGGCAATTTACTTGTTCGTGTTGTCCAAAAAGAAGCCGAACCTTTTGTGCGCGATATACGCCTTAGCTCCCCATCAGAGCCAGACGTTGTTACTTGCGAGTGATATGTACACGGATGAATTCTGATGAATGCTGTTTGATAACCTAGATTTCATTTTCGTACAAAAGGGAAATTGCTACATTATGATAACAAAGGTTTATCCACTGTGCTTCTATTCACTGTATCGGATGGCATGGGGATTGCCCCTCGCGACAACAACTTTACCTTTCCATCCATTAAACAATATACATACACACTTAACGTTCGATTAACAAGTAGCCCTGATCTTTGGACTGATATATATATACATATATAGCTGTTGTTACGATACAGAGAAACTGACTTATTCAGGTAGTAGCCCTGATCTTTGGACTGATATATATATACATATATAGCTGTTGTTACGATACAGAGGAACTGACTTATTCAGGTGAACTATAAGTTACCGTTGAAATACATTACAGGTGAGAAAAATAGTGCTCTTCGTAAAAATTGATTCGTAAGTACAATTATGAATGTATTTTCTTTCGTTTCTTTATTTTCTTTTATTTCCCTTTTCTTTTTCCCTTTATCTCAATCTCAAGCACATCACAATTGTGTCCTCCTGTTCTATTGATGACTCTTCGCCTACATATTCAAGTTTCACACATTTATCTCAAAGCATCCCCCCCCTTCTTTCTTTCTTTTTCTTCTTCAATTTCTTTTGCTTTTTTCCTTCGATTCCTTTTCCTTCGATTCCTTTTCCTTCATGTCCCACATATAGCACTAGCTCAATTCATGAGGTGAAATTCAAGTTTTTGAATTTCTGAAAATACACTGCTTAACCTTTCTTTTCTGTAGATGCTTCTTCTGCTTTGAGTTTCTGCATTCACTAAGATAAGATTCTTGCCACTCTCCTTTATTACCTTTTCTATATATATATATATATTAATATTTCAATATTTTAATATACTTAGTTCTGCATTTACTAAGATAAGATTCTTGCCACTCTCCTTTATTAGCTTTTCTATATATATATATATTAATATTTCAATATTTTAATATACTTAGTTCTGCATTCACTAAGATAAGATTCGGGCTTCTCTCCTCATTAGCTTTATTCTTTATATTTTAATATTTCAATATTTTAATATACTTTCTAATGAACTTTAGTGGATTCCCATTCAGCATTTAACAGCAGTCTTCTCTTCACGGCTTTTCTTAGTCAAATTCATTAAATTGAATCAAAATATCCTCTCTACCACATGGAGCCATCTGCGAGGTTCCAATCAGAGACCGGAAAATGAGTAAGAAATTCAACTGCGATAGCGCTATTTTGACTTCCTTTACTCTCAGCGTGGTTTATACTACTAACTCACGCACTACAAAATCTGTCCAAAAATCCCAAACAATGGGTAGTTTTTTCGCATTTTCTACAATCCAGGGTTCTTGGTTTAATTTTTTGACATCACTAACTGAAATGGCAGTAGGTAGCTGTAGGTATATCCAAACGATAAAGAAAGTTTTAGAATTTTGGTCAATATGGGTTTGATGCCCTAATTGCCAATTACTAATCTCAGGCGACAATTTACCTTTTTATCCAGCTTCATTCATTAGTAGAGGTATATATATAAATATATATCTTTAGTCAAATCCAACTAGTCGTTTGTCATCAGTGCTGCGTTTTGATTGGATGAGCTTCTACTAGGTTATAAGTTATATCCTACAAGTAGCGAAAAGTGCCAGCTTTGAAAGCCAAGACATTAAATCTAACTTTAATTCAAGACTTGTTTGCGTCAATATATTTGACCGACTAGTTGGATTTCATTAAAAACATTAGTCCAGGGGCGGCGGAAGCTGAAAAATTTTGGGGGGGCACTCCAATATTTCACGTTACCTTGAAATGACCCCCCCCCCTGTTTAGCTTGATTACAAACGTGTATGTGTGATATTTCAATCAGTAACATTTTGCGCGCATTAAACCACTTGCAATTGTGCTGAGAGACACAAAAATGATGCAAGTCGTCGCTAGATATATCGTATATTTTTTAGATACAGAAAATTATGTTATATCAAAATAATAAATAATGGTAATCATAACCAAATCTCATGCGGTTTTTTTTTTTGTGTGAGGCATTATATTCTGGGGGGGCCAGGCCCCCCCAAAAAATCTAGTGGGGGGGCTAGTGCCCCCCCCCGGTCCCCCCGCTTCCGCCGCCCCTGTAGTCCTCTTGCGCTCGTAACCTATGAGTCAATATCCCATTCGGGCTCGAAGACTAATTGCTAAATAGCTCTCTCTTTTTTCCCCACTGTGTGTTTGCCAGCCAATCAAATTCAACAACTCTGATAATGAACAGATCAACACTAAGCTTACTCAGTACTACTAGCCAGTAGTAGGCATATACAAAACAAAGCTTGTTGTGCTTATATCTGCTTTGCCACGTCTTACATTGCTTATTAACGGTAAATCTTCTGTTTGTTTGCCGGTTTGTTTGTTTGTTTGTTTCTTCAGCTTAGCAAACCCTAACTACTTCCCGTTCTATTTGTGCCCCAAACCCACCTCAGCTGAGAGCACATGTATAACTGGTAAAAAAAAAGCACCATTATTGCATTTACATCATTACGTAACTAATGTATATTGTGTGTATTTCTCCAGCCATAGACCTACCGCACAGGATGCTCAATAATACTATATGCCCCGACGGAGCCTCGTGTTCCTCAACCCTCTTCGATCTCAACAGTTCGCAAGTCACTTCAAACGACACCGGTAATGGAACCCTCAATAGCGAGGCTCACTACAACATCGTGTTCAAGATATTCGCCGCGACAGTCATGGTTATCATAACCATCGCAGCGTTACTAGGCAACCTGTTGGTTCTGTACGCGTTTTTTAACTACCACAGGCTCAGAAACAATGTGACAAACTACTACATTGCCAGCTTGGCTCTTTCGGACCTCCTGACGGCCGCTTTGGTCATCCCACTGGAGATAGATACATTTATTAACGACTCTATGTGGAATAAAGGAGAAACCATGTGTCGTATATGGACCACTCTGTATCTGTTGGCTGCACCAGGATCTATAATTAATCTTTGTGCCGTCACGCTGGATCGCTTTATAGTCCTACGCGTTCCATTGCGTTACACCGAACTCGTGACACCCAGAAAGGCCGYGATAGTGATTATTTGTCTATGGGTGTACGCTTTGATTACCGCTTGCCTGCCAGTTATGGGATGGAGAAATATCAAAATGGATTTTATTATGGAAGGACGATGTACCTTTAATTTAACACCAGAATATACGACCCTCATGAACATCGTGAATTTTCTTATTCCAATGATCTTCATGGCCATATGCTGGTCCTTGATTTATCAGATTGCAAGAAAACATCAAAGAAGAGTAAAAAAGCTTGCTCGGAGTATGTCAGTCAACGAGACAACAATGTCGTTGACAATGAATGGTGTCAATGGACGACCGAGTATCTCTGAAGGCACGCATACCAAGAAATCAATCAAAAAGCACTTGAAAGGTTCAAAATACATTGCTATCATTGTTGGTGTGTTTTTCTTGTGTTGGTTGCCGTATACCTTATTAAGTCTATCGGTGTCTGTTTGCGGAAATAAATGTTACTATGCTACGCCAGAAGAACTGGCGAACATTCTACTAATGATGGGATACCTGAACTCTGCGCTCAATCCATACCTCTATCCTTTCCACGACAGACAGTTCAAAGAGGCTTTTAAAAACATACTTTTCGATATACAGAATCTTACGATATGGGAGATATTTAGACGAAAAGATGGCTAGACTGGCGAAGCTTGGCTGTTAATCGGGCAAATATTCCTGAAAGTCAAAATAAGTGCTTCACTCTAGAAGACGTCATAAAAGGATGAACTGCTTTCCTGATTTCCATCTGAGATGGTCAGCCGAGACGTCTGTACGGTGCTAGACAAATGACGAAGATATTTACGAATCGACAAACATCGAATCAAGATTGTCCTGATATTAAGTAAAGACGCCGCTCTCGATTCATGTAGTCTGAAAGGAAATTTGAAATCAGATGGCATCTATTTCATTTAGCAAGGAAACTAATATAATATAAATGGCGATCCCGTGTCATTCTCTTTAGTGTCATTCCTTTGTTTGTCAGAGGCGCGTGGGGAGACGCACGAAAATGGATAAAATTCAGAGAATCCAACAAACGTATTTTAAAGGAATTAATGTCAAATGGAAAAAAAAAAACGTTTTCGCTGAAATGGATTTATAGACCTTTTACTTCAAAGGTCTTGTTTTCTCGTGTGATATCCCTTGTGCTTTATACCTTTCTTTACCAGTATTCCTGAAGATTGATAATATTCTATAAGCGCCATCTTGGATAAATTCAAAAAAGTTAGTCATTCACAAGGTTACGAGGCTAAGACCGCTAAGGATCACGATAAACAGTTCACATCAAATTAAACGAGTAAAGGTTTTTGACGCAAATTGCATCTTAATTATGCTCACATGAGGTGAAACCGTTACTAGTAAAAGTTAGTGCAGTTTTCGTATGACTGTGAAAAGCTCAGTGCCGTAAGCGTGACGTGCCGTGACCGTGATACTTTCTAGAATTGTAATTGGCTGATTTTTTTTCACGCGCAATGTGATTGGTCTAAAAGTGCCGTGATCTAGGCGTGACCGTGTCCGCGCCGGTAAGAGGGTCCATCCAAACAGTGCGGATGGAAACTGTTCATAGCTTAATTAACCCTGAAAATATACGAAGCATTCATCACTCACATATACCCCTCCCCTCTCCTCGTAAACACTTCCCCAAGAGGAGTGGGGAGGGGGGTACAAGTATGTGTTTGATTGATGCAACATAGTATTAGGTTACGTGATATATCAAACGCAAAAGGTCCAATTTAAAACGGACAATAAACTATCAGTATCTTCCAGTCAAACATGTATATATATGTACATATCTATAGGTTGTTTAGATTAGCCCTACAATATATATAGCTAAACAAGACATACATCCCTGAGGATAATATTTTACCACGAGGGAGGAGTGGGGGATTTTGTAACCCTCACGGACTCGCCTCAATAGACCTAATAACTGTTTCTCTATTTTAGACCACGTGTCATAGCAGCGCCTTGAGTATTATATCTTTCGTTGTCAGTAACGTTTGACTTTAACGTTTTTCTTCTAAGAAGATAAATTGATATCTATGAGACTCGAACAAAGAATGTAAGGGAATGACACGTGGTCTGGAATTGGAAAATAATTTTGGGTCTATTCCCCTTTGATTGTTTCAGGTCTTCAGCTAAGTCAAGGTCTTGCCTGGAAACTTCTTGCAACAACTGCAATAATAAACCCCTGGATATATTCTTGCAAAAATTGCATAAAGCCCTAAGACAATTCTAAAAGACTCGGCAACAACGAAATAAAAAATTTCGTCAAAACACCCTAATCACTTTAGGAAAAAACAAAACTATTTATTTTGATGGAATCAAAAAGTCGTCACGTGTACTGTGAAAAATGCTAAAGCATCTTTTGGACTCTAGGTATGTTAGTAAAATAATTCAAGCCGAATAGGCCTGTCATTGGTGTTTGTATTATTCACTCTCTGTTCCTATGATGAGTATATGAGTAGTAAAGACTGTATTAAAAAATGTATGTAAATGTAAACCAAAAAAATATTATAGAATGTTACAACAAAATACGTTAGTCGAGTCCAAAATTCTTTCTATTGCTGGGTTTCAGTTTCCTGTATCGTTTGAAAGTTCATCAGCTGAATGTCACAAGTTTTCAGGTTCGTAGCGCGGTCTCAATTATAGGTGGGCAATGTACCATTTTCCCGTCAAATCCACAGTATCCCGCATTAAATTTTGGTGCCGAAAGCAAGCTTTTTTTGGAGGGGGAGAAGGGAGTGGGGAAATTGATTTCAATAACATTCTTTGTCATTACCAGTACATGGTGGTCAGTGTTTGACCGCCATTTGAGGAAGATAATGAGATTGAAAGACTTTTATCAGCTGATTGAACCCAACTTTAATTCTTATCGGCAGCTAAACAAGAAAGAAAACCCACGCGCATGTTTGTAGTCTGTATGGAATTTTTTCGAAAACGACTCCACCCTAGTACAGAAACGAGTGACTGATTGTGCACTTATTTGTCGCGTGGGGACTGGGAAACCACCGTCTGCGTAAACAGTAGTCGCAGCTCCAAATAAACAGAAATTCCAGCAATATATAGAGAAAAATTGAAAATATCGAAATAAAAGTGTAGAAAATGCGTTTGTAAGGTTTCCAGTCAGCAGGAAAGCTCGATTGTTCAAATAGATATCGCTTAACTGATAAAGCTGAGTGTAGACAAAAGGATTCAAGCAATCATTCTTCCTACGGAAAGGGTTTTAATTCAATAAATAATTTAAAAATAAAACATGCCACACCCCCGAGACATCTACAGAAGCTGAGGCGCCGTATGGACTTCGGACGGTAATTATAAGGCCGATCCTACTTCGGGTTACGCAGGATAATGTTCCAGCGCGAAGACCTCAGAGGAGAGACTTTCCTGCCCCAAGACCGTACCTACGTCTAATCCCTCCAATCCGCCGCCTTCAAACGTACATCGTTTGCAACGCGCATCGATTTGAAGTGGAAAATAATGTAGCCTATCTAGTGCATTGTTGACACGGCTATTCATTGTCTTGCTAACTTCGTGTACTGTGGGCCGAATC